CAAAAGGTTATGTAGTTGCACGTGATTTTATTCTTGGCTTGAACCAACATACCTTTAAACTGTCTACAAACAAGGAGGTTCCAGTTTTCCCAAGCCAAAAAGCTTATTCAGATGTAAAAATCTCTATTAAAGACAAAAAGATGAAGTCCTTAAAAAAGTTTCAAGGTGTTGTTGAAGACGATGAAGTGTCAGGTGTACGAGAATTTTATAATGAAATTTTCCAGTGGCCCACAACCGTAGCAACTGACAATGATGATGACTAATGGCTGACAATGTCTTAACATAATATACTTTCATTTTGAGTTCGTTAGATATTGTATTAAGTTAAAAGTATTTTATAATAAAGCAATTTCCAATTTTTTTCGCAGTGATTTTCAAAACAACATATCCGACCTCTTTTTTTGGCCCAGTAAGAGTACAATAGGCCCTATATGTCATTTAGAAATCCCAAATGTAGCGTTGATGTACACTTTTCACTAAGAAAAACTAGATAGAAATAACGCAATGTCTGGAATTTTAAACACTTTTCTTTTATTTACTCAAAATCTTGGGAAATGAATTTATGTGGTTTTTAAAATAATCGGTTCGACTGCTTTTAACTTTTACATTGTTAAGACACTTTTTTGGTCTGAACAGAAACTATTGATATTCATTTGTTTCCAAGTTATTAGCGCTGTCTTTTGTTTTTCTTATGGTGGCCATATTGGATTTTTGATCAGTTAAATAGTCCCTAAAAAGAGCTTTTCAATAATGTATAACATGCCTAATAAATCTTTATTTATACCAGAAGTATGGACAAAAATTAATTTTACGCTAGCACGAAATAGTAGGCAATGAAATTAAACATCGCATCGATCTAAAACAAATGATAAGCTCTGTATCTATTGACAGGTAAAAGTTGAATTAGTCAGAGTGTAATAACTTTTTCTACTAATTATTGATAAGTACCTAATAACCGCGAAGCATTCAAATTAGTAAGTACTGATAATGGCATATAAATTTTCAAATGAAGAAAAGGTTGATATGTTGGAAGTGTATTTCAAAGCAAATAGAAACTCTCAAATCGCTTGCTATGGTTACGCTTTCCGGAAAGATCATAACCACATAGGACAATTTTCAACAGAATTATCAGAAATCTGGTGAACTTTGGAAGCTTCGAACAGAAACGAGGGAACTTCAAAGTTAATAATGCTGATAGACGTGATAACAATATTTTACGAAATGTTGGAAACAATCCAAGTGCAAATATCTCAAGAAACTGGAACTGTTCATAATACGCTGAAGAAAAAGAAATACCACCATACAAGCCATCAATAGCGCAAGGTTTAAGCGATAATGACCATACCCGAAGATTAGAATTTATCAGATGGTATCTACAAAAATGTGAAAACGATGATGATTTTCCTAGGAAAGTACTTTGGACAGATAAAACACGATTTACCAATTGTGGAGTGTTTAATAGACACAATTATCATTACTGGTCTACTGAAAATCCACGTTTGGTAAATCAAAGGAGATTTCAGACTCGATTTGGATTTAATCTTTGTTGTGTTTTTGAGTATTTGTTTTTTTTTTAATTTTAGATAATCATTTAATAGGTCCCATTTATCTTTGATTATAATTTAAATGGCGACAGATACTTAAGACTACTAACAAACGAAATTATGTCTGCCATAAGACAAGTTATTAACCCCGAAAGCATTTAAAATATCTGGTTTCAGCAAGATGGCTGCCCGGCCCATAATGCTCGTGATGTACAATTTTCTTTAAGAGAAAACTTTAACGAAAGAGTGATTTTAAATCATGGACTCCCTCTTGATTTTTATCTGTGGGGCGCCACTAAAAACAAAACATTTAATTCTGAACCGCCAGAGACTCGGGAAATCTTAGAACAAAGAGTGCTGGATGTGTTCAGATCATTAAACGGAACCACATTGCGTAGGGTTTGTAAATCTGTTAAAACGAGGTGCTACAAGTGTCTGGGACAGAAGTGACAGAACAATTTGTTTAAGTGAATTTGTTTGTGTTAAGTTCGTGTTAGCGTAAAATTAATTTTTTGTTCATATCTCCGGTATAAATAGATTTATTGGGAATGTTATACATTATTGAAAAGCTCTTTTTAGGGCCATATTGGATTTTTGATCATTTAACTGATCAAACCATAAGAAAAACAAAAGACAACGTTAATAACTTGGAAACAAATGAATATCAATGGTTTTTGTTCAGACCAAAAAGCTAGTGTTTAAAAAAGTGTCTTAACAATGTAAAAGTTTAAAAGCAGTTGCATTACGCGTTATCGACTTATTAGTAAAAATTAAAATCAGCAAATTTCAGTTTCTTTCAAAATATCTCAAAAATGAAAAAAGTGAGAATGAATTTGCAGTATGATTTGTTGCGAGCATTGAATCCTGCGAAACATTTCCCATTTAACTGTTGCTCTACCTCTTATAATAGCCGATATACCAATGGTGAGCATCGAAATCTGGACACACTGTATTTTTATTGAACTAAAACTAACACTAGACCTAGAAGTAGAAAGTATCGGGTTTAACCGCGCATCTGGAGACGTGCGGCTAAATCCGAATGTTTCTAGTTCTTGGTCTAGTGTTAGTTCTAGCATTGTACTAGCACTATCACTAGAACCAACATTAGACTTAGAAATAGAATCATTTGGGTTAAGCAGTACGTCTCTTAAGACGGCTAAACCCGACTGATTCTAGTTCTTGGTCTAGCGCTGCATAACAGTTAAAACTAGAACTAACATTAGATCTAGTTTTACACTAGCACTGTTGTTACTATACAGAACTAACACTATACCTAGAACTAGAATCATTTGGGTTTAACCGCACGCCTCTAAGGATGGCAAAACCCGAATGATTCTAGTTCTGGATCTCTATATATAGGTGGTCCATTTAACGTGAGGCAAGCGATTATCTCGAAAACGGTTCATTTTACATAAAAATGAACCAAATGAAAGTTGTTCTGTGCGAAGGGGGGAACCATATGACGATAACATTTTTGACCTTAACCTTATTTCAACCTATTTCCAAGGTCATATGAAGGTCAGGACCAATTACAACTACAATTACAATAAATGGTACCCTATGTTTTTGATTGCATAATCTGAATCTATGGATAAAAGTAAAATAATTAAAAGAAAAAAAAAAAATTACCGTGTGGTTTTGCCAGTACGACGGCGAAACATCTTTTGTAGATAAAATCTACATAATGTTTTTATCCAAATTGTTTTCTAATATTGTTTATTTATAAAAAAATTATTAAACTATACTATTAATCAAGAACAAGTATAAAACTTACAATAAATGTTCAAATATTTCCCCACTCACTCCAATACATTTATTAACTCTTCTACTAAAACTTTCTTTACATCTTAAAAGGTTTTCTTGGCAACTATTTCTGCATGCATTTCTTATCCGCTCTTTCATGTTTTCTGGCGTAGTCGGTACATCGCGATAAACATTATCCTTAAGGACGCCCCACAAAAAAATCAAGAGGTGTTAAATCAGGTAATCTGGCAGTCCAGGAAATTGCAGCTCCCCTTCCAATCCTTCGCCCAGCATAATCCCGTGCAATATGTTGTACATTGTTAACTTTGCTTGTTTTCAGTAAGGCATTTGACACCATAAATCATAAAATGCTATTATCATTGTTACATTATATCGACCTTGGGCCGGGTGCTATAAGATTAATTATTATTTATTTATTAATTAATTATTTGAGTCATAGGAGTCAGTATGTCAGTCTTCCAGTGGGCTGCTCTGGTTCTTTGGGGATTTCTGGGGGAGCGCCTCAGGGAAGTTTAAATGGACCGCTTCTTTTTATCATATGTAAAACGTCTTAATGTAAAACGATGGAATGAGTTCAGAATTGTTGCCAAGTAGTTTTTATGCAAATTTAGTTCTATCTGTTACATTTTAAAACAAATCATCCAATTAAGTCTCTGAAAGCGATATTCTGAAAATGCCGACATAAGCAGTTCCACGAACTCTTATTTTTTATGCGTTATTCTATTATCAAATTGACAAAGGCGGAGAAATGTCGGAACCTTTTAAACCTCTTTCCAAAGGTATTTCCGACGAGCCACGTCACCCGATGTACCTCTTCTGGATTTTCTTTGTTGAGCATTCTTAAATAGTAATCTAAGAATTAAGAACTAAAGACAATGTATCGAAGCGGGTAGGAAAATGTTTAAAAATTCATAAATCTTATTTGTTCTTGCTAGATTATAAACGTTAGAACGTTATTAGATTAGATTATGAACGTTAAAATTTTTTTCAAAAGATGTTGTGCCATTCTACTGGCAAAACCATACAGTAAAATTTTTTGTTAATTACTTTACTTTTATCCACAGATTCAGATTTTACAATAAAATATATAGGGTGCCATTTAAAAAATTTGTCGTGATCTTCATATGACCTTGAAAATAAGGTCAAGATGAAAACTTGTTATCGTCATATGGTTTCGTACAGAACAACTTTCATTTGGTTCATTTGTATGTAAAGTGAACCATTTGCGAGATAATCTCTTGTCTCACGTTAAATAGACCAGCCTGTATATATATGCGTCTGAGGACGCACGGCTAAACCCGAATGTTTCTAGTTCTAGATCTAGTGTTAGCCATCTTGAGACACGTGCGGCTAAAACCGAATGTTTCTAGTTCTTGGTGCAGTGTTAGTTCTAGTATTGTACTAGCACTATCACTAGAATTAACACAAGACCTAGAACTAGAATCATTCGGGTTTAGCCGTCTTGAGAGACGTGTGGCTAAATCCGAATGTTTCTAGTTCTTAGTCTACTATTAGTTCTAGAATTGTACTAGCACTATCACTAGAAGTAACACAAGACCTAGTACTAGAATCATTCAGGTTTAGCCGTCTTGAGAGACGTGTGGCTCTTAAGACGGCTAAACCTGAATGTTTTTACTTCAGAAGTATGAAGGCTTTTACAGCCGGTATTAATTGAACTAGAACTAATACTAGATGACTAATTTTAGTTCAAGTATTTACCTTTCGTCTTTTGCTTTTTCTGGCATGACAACAACTGATCCCGCATCCACCGACGCATTTGGCCATTTTAAGAGGTTTCCTTGACCTACAACCATTTTCCGAGTAATACTCCCTTACTTGTTCTTTGCGACAAGTTGGAGCTGAAATAGAATAAACATTACGCAATTTAGTTTTTGAATAAATAAAACAACACCGAAACAAAAAAGTGCGGGATAAAGGCAAATAATATTCTTTTTAATACTGAATTAATTAATGGCGAAAAAAGCGATTTAAAAGCCTTAAAATAAACTTAAATCTAAATGGTTTTGATGCAAAATTTAATGAAGTATTCTATATTTTGCATCAAAATAAAAAAAAACTTTCATTCTAACATGCTTAAATCGAATCAAATAAAAAAAGGGATTCATAAAAAATGAAAATTGTTAGTACCCTTTCGATTCACTCTCATCTTTACTTACTCTCATCGTGCTCACCTTGCTCGCAGAACTTCCCCTTAAACCCTGGTTTACATTTGCAGGCGTACTCCCCCTCTCTCGACGTAGCTACACACTTACTCTCATGTTTACAGTGATTCCCTTCGCACGGGTCGATCTTTTGAGGTTCCTCCACCATTCCATCCATCTCATCATCCTGCTCTTCATCGTCCCTATCCTGTTCTAAAGACGCACACCCTGGCGAAACTTTTTGTTGCGTCGCTGCATTCCCAAAATCAACTTGTTTATGGTTTATCCATACTTCTTTCATACAACCCTTAAAACTGGTTAAGTTTCTTAAATGCCATAATGTAAACGCGGTTTGTCCCGGTTCCGGGGGGATTCCTCCGAGGTACATGGGGGTGGTTAATCTTAAATAATCTTTGGCGCCATCGTTTACTATTGAACGGGCTAAACCACGATCTACGCGAAGGGTGAAGTTTTTTTTAATCGCTAGCAGCTCAGCAATGTGGTATTGACCATCAGATACCATTTCAAAACTAATCACAAAATTATTAAATTAATAATAAATTTATTTCTTAATTTTTAATGATTACCTATACATCGTTGAAACGGGGTGATTCCCCACATCATAACTTATTCTTATTCTTCCGTTAAATAATTCTACAGCAAGATGTTCTTGGTGACCATCGTACATTAAAACACCGTTTTCTTCGGTTGTTGCAAATACTATGGTTACGTTAGCTTCCGGTTTGGTGACGAGAGGTTCAAGTTCGACGTAAGAAGTGTTATGGGTGAAACTTAAACTGGTTAAGTACTCGCAACGTTTCCCTAAAAATAATTTTGATATAAACTTTGATATAATGGAATACCTCCGCGCTAAAAAAGCGGCTAAACCGCACGTCTCCCAAGACGGCTAAGCCCGAAACTTTTTAGTTCTAAGTC